TCAAAATTTAAATTCTAAGAGCCTTTGTCACTTTTTAAGAAATTGGTCCTTATTCTAGAATAAACACACTGTTATGAAATAGTTTATTCTCATATATTGTCTTTATTTTTAAGTATCTTCTTGTTGCCTATTCTAAAATAACTTATTTGATAATAGGTTACTTTGTTTCGGAATAATGAATCTTTTTTCTCTAAGCTATCCATGCTTCATCTCTCATAATGTTATATTCATAAATAACTTATTCAAGAATAGCTCTTCTTATTTTTAAATAAAGAATTTCATATAAACTCTTACGTAATTCTCTTCCGATACAAGTGTTACACTTCGAAATTAGCTCGGTCTGCTTCTTGTTATTGTGTTCTTCATTATTAAGTAAACCTACCTGTTTTGAAATATGCACAGTAAAACATGCTTTGATTTTCATGAGAAAAATAGAGGATCTTCAAAACTAACTCTAATCCGTTTCCTTTAACTATTTGAGAGTTGTGTTAGTACTACAATCTCTTAGGAATTATTCTAAACACAACTTTGAGTTGGATTAAGTTCTCTTCAATCCTATTTAGAAAATTCTTATTTTTAAATAGCTTCATTATTTCAAAAGAATCTCTCACTTATTTTGTCTGAACATTCTTTTCATATTGGCCGTTAATATCCTATCTTGTTCACTGGTACATCATGAGTAGGAGGGATCTTTCCAAGGAACTAAACTCTATCAATCATCTTTTCTAGTCTCTTGCCTTCTTTTCTGTCGGTGATTCATGCATTTTCTTTCAATACACTAGGAGTGGTCTAGCAACTATTAAAGACATCATTAATAAATTTTGTTGTTGGCCAAGGTAGGAAGTAAATTTGCAGAAATCCATCTTGCTTCTTAGCCCAAACATTCCTACAAACTTGTAGCAAGAAATATCAAATTCTTTGGGCATTCACTCGAGCACAACTTTTGGGAAATACCTAGGTAGTTGGATCAATGTTGGTAGAGATAAGTCAACTATTTACAATCAGGTATTAGATTCTATTAATAAAAGGCTGGCCTCATGGAAAACACAAATTGTTGTCTTAAACTTCAAGGTTGACTGTCATTAAATCTATTTCATTTGCCTCTAATATTTACACTTTGTCTTGTCTTAAGTTTCCAAAGAAAATTTGCTAGCTTATTGATGCCAACTTGGTCAGTTTTTTTTGGGCATTGACGAGGGCTGAAGAAATATTCATTTGCTGAGGAAAGAAGTGTTGTTTGGTCTAGTCAAGTTTGGGGTTCTAGGCTTAAGAAAAACCAGGCAAGAATGCTAGGTAGATGATTGTGGCTCTAATTGTTAAATAGATTTGGCAAACTTGGCAAGTAGAACCTCATTCATTCTTGGATAACAGCTTAAAGTTGAAGTATGTGGACTTGGGAAATAGTTTCTCCTTGAAAAAGCCTTACAGTGCTTCATTGTTTTGGAAAGGTATGTTTGACTCATCTAATCTTATCAATGATCTACTCAAATGGCAAGTTAGAAATGAAGCCTCCATTCTAGTCGCTCATGAGCTCAGGTGATCTCCCTCTAACTCTTCAATCACTGTGGCTGTTAATGTCTCCACAGTAGCTAACTTGATGGTTTAGAAGCCAAATTCGTGGTCTCATCTCAATTGGAATATTCCTTTATTAACGAATTTGTATGACTTGAATTTATTTCGGCAAATTATTAAAATTCAATTATCTTTATGTGGCTCTGCAATAGACTAATCTGGAATTCTGACACTTACACCCTCCAAGAGGGTTTTAGATTTCTTAACAAAAATGCAAGGAATTTGCATCTTGCAAGAGAAAGCATTTGGGAGTTTCTTTGAAAATTACTTATGAAACTCCCCTCTTTATTTGGAAATTAGTTCATAAGGCAATCCCTACAGGTGATGTTTTTTCAACCCATCATGTTCTAGCTTCAATTACGTGTCATATTGTTTGTGACTTTCATGACTTCTTGCTTCATATTTTTTGTGAATGTCCTTTCGTTGAGGTTATTTGGTTTGGTTCTCTAGGAATTTGTTCTGAAGAAATTTCTCATCAATGTTTGATTGCTCGGCTTTTTAAGAGTTTTATACCATATGTGTGCAGCCAATGATCTTTCTATGATCACGAAATTTTTTGCTCTTCTACACTTTATATGGATGATAAGGAATCAAGTCTTACACTAGGGGAAACCTTTCATCCTGCATAAAGCAATTAGGGATTTTCAGGAATAAAAGAAATTTCTCAAATTTGCTTGTAACTAGAATTCTTTCACAAACGGTTCTAAGTCCAAGGAAAATAATAATTTTGAAATTTCTTCCTTAAGGAAAATTATCAATGCTTACTACTCATTAATTGCTTCAATTTCTGCAAATGGTTCTTATAATTGGACTATCAAAATTTCAAGAAAAGGACCTTATTTTTTCATGTAGCAGTGCTCTATTTTGGAGAAGAAGAGATGCAGCAATTTCATATTACATGATCTTTTGTTTCTTCCTTAAGCCAATTTTTGCAAGCTTGCCTTCACAGCATCTTGCAATGGGTGATAGACTTTGGCAATCAATCCGTTGGAGAAGGCATCAGGTTGGGAGGTTTGGAGATCATCATGCATAATGGAAACTTGCCAAGAAAGAAGTGTTATTCTAAAGGACACTCGACATATACTTTATTCTTTTAATTTAGTGTCAATGGAACAGATTAGCCAACTTTGCATTCCTTTATTTTTTCCCTTCTTTTCTTTTCCTTTACTATTTTATTAACTTTAATCTATTGATTGACCATTTTTTTTTAAAAAACTTATTATTTAGGTAAATATGTTCATTTATTTGAAATTTCTACATCAATATAATTAGGATCAATGCTGGCAAAAATCAGCCATGCCACATGCATGTGAGGGGGCATTTGAAAATAATTACATGTTAGGATACAAGATTTTACATTTTTTATTCATTTTCTTTCATATTTGCATCTTTCACTTGGAGGAAATTACATTTTAGGTTACAAATTTTTATATTTTTCACCCCCTTTCTTTTCATGTCTTGCACTCTTTAGTTTGATATTTTAAATTCTTAATCCACTGAGTGTTAATGATTAGTATAAGTTAGTTGATCAAAGATTCTAAAACATAAAAATATAGTAGAAAAATTATTAAATATTTAATTATTATATTATTTATTTGAATTTTTAATATTTAAATATTTTTGCCCCTCATGATCTAGAGTTTTGGCACCACCACAACACAACTAAATAGGGTATTGAATTGATTAGGATACTAATTTATTAAATCATGGTTAGTTCATGTTTGTACCAATGTTAATTAAAATAATAAAATTTAAAAATTATGTTTGAAAAATAAAAATATTTTAAATAATATATTCACTAATTATAATTTTATCATAAATATTAAATAAAAAAATAATTTTGGGTCACTATATTTTGCTTGAATTTTACCATAGGTCTCTGCATTTTTTTGGGTATTACAGGTCCATACACTTTTATTTTTTAATATTTTAAATCCCTTCATGAATGGTGTTATACAGATTTAGAATATTAAAAAATAAAATATTAAAACCTAAAATATTAAAAGATGCAAAATCTATAATAAAATTTGAGTAAAGTGTATGGATCTTTTTACATTAAACTTATTATTAATAGTATAAACATTATAATAAAATTATTTATTATTAACTATAAATAATCAAAATCAACTATGATAATGTCAGATAAATCATCTAATCAAATTAATATAAAATTTTCTTAAGGGTTTTTCTTCTCTCATTTATGAAGTTTTATTTATTGTCACTTTTTGAAGGGTTTTAAAAAATATAAAATAAAATTAAATGTTATTTTATATGGCGGAGAGCATCAGTCGGTTCGATTCGATTGTGATTAAAAAAAACCGACAAACTAAAATTAAACAATTTTTTGAACCGAACCAAACTGAAGTTTTGAAAAAACCGAACTAAAACCGAATCAAATTTTAATGGTTCGGTTCGGTTATTTATTTTGGTTATTGGGCCCTTTTGTCAACATGCTGAGCCTTTTTTTGTCAACAAATTAGGCTTGTCTTCAAAAAAAAACATCATACTAATTAAAAAAATTTAAAACACCAGATGCCCCTAATTAAAGTGGAGAAAAAATGATCTGAATTGGTCTAGTGAATCCTATAAAATTTTAATTATTTGAACCTCAAACAATTATAAAATTAACATGACAAATATACATAGTGAGGAAAACAAAAGGAATCTCCAAAACTAATAATATGGATACTGGACAACATAGAAAAGCATATCAAAATCAAGGAATCAAATATAATATTATTATTTTTAAAAAATATTAATAAAAATAAAAATAATCCTTAATAATATAAATCAATTATGATATTTATAAGTATATATAATTAATTTTGGTTAATTCGATTTATTTGGTTTTGCAATCTTTAAATTCAACCCAATCATTTAAATTGAAATTTTTTTAAGAAAAAACTGAATCAATCATTTAAACTAAATAAATTAAACTGAATAGGTTAACCTCAATTTGATTTGGTCCGGTTTTTTATTTTAATTCAGTTTTGCTTACATACTCATATTTTTGAAAAAAAAAATTGACATTTTTCCCCAACGGAGCGTGATTTGTTTGGAGCTTGTGCGTTGGCGCGTGGAAAAGAGGTATAGAGATAGTAGCTGTCAAATTGACACGCTCTTGGAAAAAGTTAAGGTACGAATGACGGCGGCTGCCTATTTCGCTCCCTCTCAGCCACTCTACGTTCTCAATGTGTCACTCCCTCAGTAACGTCCCTTCACCGCCGTTTCCTCTTCCTTTCTCGCTCTGTTTTCTCGTCCGTTATTACCTCTTCTTTCTCTCTCTTCCGTATTTCCTCTCTCTTCATAACGCTCGCCCTGCATTTTCCTTACAGTTCACGCCAAACGCCTGCTCTCTGCTCTTCTTCCTCTGCACTGCACATACCAAAACCCAACGTCCTTCACTGCATTAACATACTTCTGTCATTTTCTGCTCCTCTAGCGCAAGGAAGCAATGGTGGATGATGGTGCACCGGTGTTGTTGCTATTTCGTACCGGCAAGCATGCGAAGGAGGTCAAGATGCTGTTATTTATGGCGCTGCTGTTGTTTCTCTTTTCATTTGCTTCACCTCTCGGTGACGAAGGTGTGCTTCCGTTGTTGTTTTGGTTCGCTATTGCACGAGTTTCTTGCTTTGTGTGTGCTTCCTTTTTCTTGCTTCTTTGATTCTACTACTGTAACTGATGGCGATGACTGTTATCTATGTTGTGAGAGAATGTTATGAGATGCTATCACTGGGTAGCACTGTATTAATTCGTTAACAGCTCGTTAAGGTGAGAAAATGCGTTAGTGTCGAGCTACTGATTCGATAGAGGACAGGCTCTGTGCTCCCTCTAACTATTTCTGCTCGGTGATCATGGCTAGCCATGTGGCTTGAAGGGAAATGATTATGCGGCTTTGATAAATTAGGCTTTTCCTAATACTCATCTCACTGACCAGCGTTAGTTCATCGGCGAGCAATACTAGCGTATGTCACTGAAATATCTTCAACGTAAGTTTGGTGTTATTGTCGTCGAGCTTGTAGAAACTGGATGCTCGGAGAGTCTTGTCATTAAATCTGATCAAGTGTTGACATTTAGACGATATTTTATACTGCTTGTTTATTCGAATAATCCAAGCAACTCTAGCAAGCAGCCGCTGGAGGCCATAAAGTAACGGCCAATTTCCTCTTCCTGATTATGACCATGTCAGTTGGCGAGATTTATAGAGGAAACATCAAGGCACCAACACGCCTTCTAAAGTTAGTTTGATTTTGAGTGCCGATCTTCACTGTCATATCTTGATAAAATTTTGGTTCTGCTAGCTTTTTTCGATAGAACATTTTATATCATGATAAGCCCGTAACGAATGCTTAATCGTTGACCCCATTGCTTGTGACTCGGTTTGGAAACTGTAAGTGCTAACGAACAATTAATAATTAATTTGATTTGATGACCCTATATGTAGTGCCCCGACTTATGTATCTGGTTAGATTCTCGTGCTATCATTTATCTGGGTGATCGTCATTTTCATTAATTGAACTGCTGTTCTCCCATGTGCTCTTGGACGGGCGATCTCTTTATTCATGGCTGGTTTTTCGATTAAACAGAAGCGTACCAATTGATTTGTCTCTTTTGTACTGTGTGTCAATTTACTATCCTGAAATGGTGTAGGACAAACATTAATGACTATCAAGGCTTCTTTCAGCAACGAAGCAAATGAGTTGCTTGATTGGGACGATGTGCACAATGACGACTTTTGTTCTTGGCTCGGAGTATACTGTGATAACACCAGCATTACTGTGCTTACTCTGTGGGTTGCCATTTCTGTAAATTTTTTTTTGTTTGATACTTTCCATTTCTGTAATTTTTTTGGTTAAATCGCGTCACTTTATTATCTGCATTTTTTCCCGCTCCTGTTGTCTTGGACTAAACAAATGCGCCTGTTCTAAAATTGAATTTAAGTCGCTTGTTCTGAAATTGAATTTAAGTGCCTTTTATTATGTTTTGTAGGAATCTGTCAAGTTTAAACTTGGGTGGCGAAATATCACCAGCCATCGGTGAATTGAGAAACTTGCAATCCATGTATGTTGGGTCCTTTCGAGCACGTCTTTCCTTAAGTCTTAACTTTATTTGCACACGAATTTAAATTCTGTATTCTTAAAATTACAGAGATCTCCAGGGGAATAAACTAAGTGGTCAAATTCCAGATGAAATTGGGAACTGTGCCTCGCTTGTCCATTTGTATGGTCTCTTGTATTATTTATATCTGCAATTTATTTTTATAATTTTATAAATATAATTTTAATTTATAGTAATAATAATAATGATAATTATATTTATAATTATATTTATAAGTAATTATAAATATTACGACTCTTTGTTGGAGTTGTCTTATGCTGAAGTTGATGGCAAGTTATTTTTCATGTATTGCAGAGATTTGTCTGATAACCAGTTGTATGGGGACGTGCCTTTCTCCCTATCAAAGCTAAAGCAGTTGGAGTTTCTGTAAGTTCTTAACCTTGGTTTGGCATTGAATAAGCTAATTCTTGATTGTGTCGTAACTGGCTGTTTTTGAGCTGGTGAATGAAGGAATTTGAAGAATAATCAGTTGACTGGTCCTATCCCTTCAACATTAACCCAAATTCCTAACCTGAAAACGCTGTAAGTTCCTCATTTGGCCTTCCCAAGATATCATAAAGACGTGGTAGAGTGTCCACTTTTATGGAATGTTAGGTTTCGTTGGCACTATTTTTTCTCTCTCTAATTTTTCACGCTTCTATTGCCAAGCGCTATGAACAATTTTAATTTGGACAGGCAACTGCTTTTACTTAAAATTTGATGATATGATTATAATTTCATGTTCTCAGTGATCTTGCTCGAAACCGCCTCACTGGTGAGATACCAAGACTGCTCTATTGGAATGAAGTTCTGCAGTATCTGTGAGTTTTGTGAATATTGTCTTGTGTCAATTGATGTGATCTTATTCTGCATTTGAGGACTCACCGCAATTCTTAGTAACTGTTGTTTATTGAACAGGGGTTTACGAGGGAACAATCTGACTGGAACTTTGTCCTCCGACATTTGTCAATTAACTGGTTTGTGGTATTTGTGAGTACTCTAACTTCTGCAAACCAAGTTTTTTCTTTTATTCTCGCATTTTACATTTGTTATTCTCTTTCTAATTCAAGTTTCCCTTGTCTATTATAAATATTCAGTGATGTGAGAGGCAATAATTTAACGGGCACAATACCTGAAAGCATTGGAAACTGTACAAATTTTGAAATTTTGTACGTTATCTCTATAAATCCTCTGATTTCCAATTTTTTTTTTTTATGTTTTCGTTTTATCATTCTATCCTGTGATAAATGTTCAGGGATTTATCATATAATCAGATCAGTGGGAAAATTCCTTACAATATTGGATTCCTGCAAGTTGCAACCTTGTGAGTATATTGACAAGTAATTTTTAGTTCTACGGTTTCTTAACTGCAAATAAATGGATTTTTTTCCCGGTTAGAGAATCCTTCCAGTTGTTGGTTTAAAGTTTAATTTGTCAATAACGTTCTTCCTTAGGTCTCTTCAAGGTAATAGGCTAACTGGGAAAATTCCAGAGGTGATCGGTCTGATGCAAGCACTTGCTATTTTGTAAGTATAAAATTTATCAGACTCAGATATTTTCGATTTGGGTGTGATACATTTATCTTAAACTTTGTTTCAGGGATTTGAGTGAGAATGAGCTGGAGGGACCTGTCCCTCCAATATTTGGCAATTTATCTTTTACTGGGAAGCTGTGAGTACTCCTTAACCTGAAGCTGTTATCTCCTAAGTTAATTATTATGAGTGTTATGAGTAGTCTTAGCATTATGGTTATACAGGTACCTCCATGGAAACAAACTTTCTGGTCCTATACCACCAGAACTTGGCAATATGTCTAAATTAAGCTACCTGTGAGTTGATTTTCATTTTCTTTATAGATTACGATCAATCACTTTTCATTGCATTTTTGTTTTGAGAGAAAAGTCGTTTTTCAGGCAATTAAATGACAACCGATTAGTTGGCAAAATTCCTGAAGAGCTTGGAAAGCTTGAACATTTGTTTGAATTGTGAGTTTTATTCATTTTACCTCTTGTTCTCTTCTATTTACTTTATTGTTAGGAGGCTGATATTGCAAACTTTCAGGAATCTTGCCAACAATAATCTTGAGGGATCTATTCCACATAACATCAGCTCCTGCACGGCCTTGAATCAGTTGTAAAATTCTGAATTCTCTAGAGAATACTGGGATTGGAACTTTTGGAGTAGAAAATCCTTTTGGTCTTAGTCTCTCATTTGTTTATCTTTTTACAGCAATGTGCACGGTAATCACTTGAGTGGATCCATTCCTGGGAGTTTTAGAACCCTTCAGAGTTTGACTTACCTGTATGTCGTGACAAACCTCTGCTAGTCTTGTACTATTGTCCTTTCATCTATTCCTCTCATTCTTTTGAAGTATAGCAATCTTTATCATATCTCCAGAAATCTTTCTGCTAACAACTTCAAAGGGAGCATACCTGTTGAGCTGGGCTATATCATAAATCTTGATACGCTGTAAGTGCAGAAGTTGAATTTCATGTTTTGATTAACTGCAATATTTGCTGACAGCTTTCTCTTTTATGTTCAGGGATCTGTCAAGAAATAATTTTTCAGGTCCAGTTCCACCATCTGTTGGTGACTTGGAGCATCTCCTGACCTTGTAAGACGGATGTTGCATCTAATGAACTTGTTCATTTTCTCAGTATGCTGGATCATGGTTAATATCTATGGTATGTTTATGTATGCAGGAACCTGAGCCATAACCTTCTTGATGGTCCATTACCTGCTGAATTTCGGAATATGAGAAGCATACAGATTATGTATAGTTTTATTGCTATTTGGAAAGAAAACTGAATTTTTTTTTGACTTTTAACAATTTCTTTTTTCTCTTAGTGATATTTCATACAACAGTCTTTCGGGTAGTATCCCTGGGGAAATTGGTCAACTGCAGAACCTTGTGTCTCTGTAAGATAACTACAAAGTGCATTATAGTTTCTCATTGCCTCAAGTTTGTTGCATAGATAGCATCATCTATTCACGGATTTCATTTGTTGGAACATTTCAATAGGATACTGAACAACAATGATTTGCACGGGATAATTCCAGATCAGCTAGCTAATTGCCTGAGTCTCTCCACCTTGTATGGAAATCTAATAGCCAGTCGATTGTTTTCATCCCTTTTTTTTTTCCGGCATTTCTGACGTCTGTTTATTCCATGTTCTAGAAATGTCTCATACAATAATTTATCTGGAACTATTCCTCCTATGTGGAATTTTTCACGTTTTTCATCTGACAGGTATGCTGAATAAAACTAAACCTCTACAACTTTTCATTTTTCTTGTATTAATGACATTTAATGTGGTGTCTTGCAGTTTCATTGGAAATCCGTTATTATGTGGAAAAAAGTTAGGTTCATTATGTGGTCCTTACATGCCGAAATCCAGAGGTACATCTCATCCATTTAATCTTTTTGCTGTATATATATAATTCTTATATAGTACTGGAGAATCCTAGAGCAACAAAGACTTAAATATGAGCGGTGACAGCCTGTTTTTTTTTTTTTTCCAGCAATTTTTTCAAGGGCTGCAGTTCTTTGTCTAGCACTGGGTATCATCACAATATTGGTAATGGTCATTATTGCTATTTATAGAACCATACAGTCGAAGCATTTGATGAAAGGATCGGGCAGATCTGGACAAGGCACGTAAAAGCTCTTTTGTTGATTTAAATAAGATTTTTAATACAAGCTAAATTTTCATTTTTGTTTCTTTTCAGGTCCTCCCAAACTTGTAATTCTTCATATGGATATGGCACTTCATACCTTGAATGATGTAATGAGAGCTACTGAGAATCTCAGTGAGAAATATATCATAGGTTATGGTGCCTCTAGTACAGTATACAAATGTAATTTAAAAGGTTCCCGGCCAATTGCAATTAAGCGACTTTACAACCAGCATCCACACAATTTGAAAGAGTTTGAAACAGAACTTGAGACTGTTGGTAGCATCAGACATAGAAACCTTGTCACCTTGCATGGCTATGCACTGACCCCCTATGGAAATCTCCTGTTCTATGACTATATGGAGAATGGCTCTCTGTGGGATCTTCTTCATGGTTAGTTTCCAAAACCGTGAGAGTCCTAGAGACTGTTCTTATCATAAAAGTATAGCAAAATATGGTGTCTATTGGGTGAGAAATCGAGCAATTTATAGCTTCAGCTGCTTTATCTGACAGGTTCCTTGAAGAAGATGAAGCTTGACTGGGAAACACGATTGAGGATTGCTGTTGGCGCTGCCGAAGGACTTGCTTATCTCCATCATGATTGCAACCCTCGGATTATTCACAGGGATATAAAATCCTCTAATATTTTACTGGACAAGAACTTTGAACCTCATCTTTCTGATTTTGGTACTGCAAAAAGCATATCAACAACAAGAACTCATGCATCAACTTTTGTCCTTGGAACCATAGGGTATATTGATCCCGAGTATGCCCAGACTTCTCGGTTGAATGAAAAATCAGATGTTTACAGCTTTGGCATCGTTCTGTTAGAGCTACTAACTGGGAAGAAAGCAGTAGATAATGAGTCTAACTTGCTACAATTGGTATGCTTCTCTCTTTTAATTTATTTTTTTCGGTACCAGCCTTTAGCAAACGACCTTGAGGTTTCTACCGGTCCTTTGTAGTGTATTTTTTAGTTGTGTTGGCATTTTTTAGCTATAAAATATTGAAAATGCCCTCGCAAGTATTGTAATTCTTAATGAACATAAATCCATGTGGTAGTATTGATAAAATTCCCGCCAGCTAAGCCTTTGTGGTTCATTGCTTGACTGTGAAGCACTTTGGCACAGGTTCAAATGCTGGTAGACAAAAAAAAAAAAAAATTTATTGAGCATAGATCCACATGTTCTTGTGATTCCTGCAGATGACAACAGTGATTTAATGTTTAACATTGACTTGACAGATACTATCCAGGGCAGATAACAACACTGTAATGGAAGCTGTAGATCCAGAGGTCTCTGTGACCTGCTTGGATTTGGCCCGTGTGAAGAAGACCTTTCAGCTTGCACTACTATGCACCAAAAGAAACCCTTCTGAGAGGCCTACCATGCACGAGGTTGCAAGGGTATTGGCGTCTCTACTGCCTGCGCCGCCTAATAAGGCGTTTACTACACCGGCAAAGATGGCTGATTATGCACAAGTGTTGATAGAAAAGGGACAATGTCAAATGATGGGGTTGGCGCAACCTAAGAAGGAGGATAATTCTTCTGATGCTCATTGGTATGTTAGCTTTGGAGATGTATGCAAGAACACCCCCTAAGTCCGCAATTACTTTCTCTGAAGTAGCAGTTAGGATTACCTAAGGCAGGCTTTTTTTGTAGATGGGCTTTTCTGAGATTATGGACAGATTAGTATTATTATAGATATAGATAGGCTTTACTGGAAGCACAACTTGACGTTCTAATTTGACCATCAAGAATATAGTCCTATTAGCAACGTATATGGCACTTTGTTGTATGAATCGTCCTTTCTAGCTTGTCTTGTGCAAGCCTCCATTGCCCTCTATAAATCTATCGAAATGGTTCAGCTTTTTGGCCCATGGTCGTTGTTTGTACAAACCCCATGTTCAAAATGACTGTGAGTATGTGTGGCTGGCAATGGCACACTGTCCCTTTTTAACTCGGGTGGTAAAACTGCAAAAGAAAGTACTCGAAAATTAGGACCTTTATATAGTGTTTGGTTCAAAGGGGAGGGATGAGGAAAGAAGATTCCGCTTCAATAAGTCCAGTTTGGTTGAAAAGTAGGGTAGAGTAGGGTAGGGGAGGTATTATATGGGAAACACCTATTTTATTTGATTTTTTTTTGTTTGCCTTTATAAAAATAATTGTAACATAATTTTTTTTTAATTTTGAAATTTTAAAATCTTTCTCCTCATTTTATTTATGATATTTGGTCAAAAAATTATTTTTATAATAAATTCTTGTAATATTTTTTTAAAAAAATGTTATTTGATCAATTTTAACTTGTTATCTCATTAATTTTAATAATTTTTTAATAGAAAAATATGTCAAGGTTGGAATGGATGATAGATTTGTGGTAGCTAGTAATGGATAATTAATGGCGAGATAAGCAGTGTCATGATTCTTATTTAATTGAAGCAGTGATTAAAACATAAGTAATTTTTTTATGTAGTTTAGGAATTTTACAAAACAAATTATTTTGTCCAGATTTTATCAAAAATAATATTATTTTATACTTGATTACACTAGTAAAAAGTGACTATTATTTAATTATTTTAGATTTTATAACATTTTTATAGATATTTATCTATAAAAATAATTTATTATTCAGTTATTTTATAATTTTATAATATTTTTGCGTATTTTCACATTTTTATTCCCTTTCTATCATATTAGATTATTTCAAAAGCTATTAAAAATATAAAAATATATTTTTTATTTCAAATTCGGATTAATTTTAAAAGTTTAAATGAACATCATAACCTTCATTAAATCTTCATGCATTTGCAAGATAATTGAAGCGGGAAGAAGATGTTTAGGAAGTTTTCGGTTCTGGTTTGCCATTATTATCTACAAAGGCATTGACGGGTTCGTTGAACTTATCACCAGGAATTTTCACTTGGGGCTGTTTGGTTAACAAAACAGAGATGAGAATTGAATAGAATGGAATGATTATCACCGGGCTTTGTTTGTTACGATACTATCGGTGATCTTTGTCTCTTGGCAAACTTTATGTTTCTGATGTTATGAATAAAATATCAATATAATAGAAATGTGAAGAAAGAAGAGAAGATGAAGAAAGAATATGAGCAATATAAATGAAGATAATTTCTCTTCGTATTTTCTTCCATCATTTATAATATAATAACAAAAATTTATAAGCACGATCTTACATTAAGGTTATACAAGTGATAATGAAAAATAAAGGGTAATAAACATTTATAAATTAGTGGGAGTTTCATGGGAGAAGATGAAAGGGTGAGAGAGATGAACATCTACATGACTTTTAATATTCATAAACATTCTCCCTTAAATGTTCATTATATAAGAATGTGTCTTATTAAAAATTTCAACTAGAAAAAATCCTATGAGACAAAAACCTTGTAGTAGAAAAGATTTGTGCATAATTTGAAAATTATATGCTTTTACATAATGACTCATGCATACAATCTTGCAAACTTTATGTTGCAAAAATATCTTATAGATGCATCTATTAAATTAATTGACTTTTTGCACTATTCATGTAACATCCTAAATTTTTAAATTGATAATTATCAGTGTTTTCAAGGATAATTTGGTCAATTTAAATAAATTATTGATTAACGAGATTTATGGAAGACTAATATAGTTTTTGAATTCTTATACAGCCTTAGAAGAAGGTCGATGTTTAAGCGGGCCATGGCATGAAAAGAAGTTTAAATGTTGTGAGACTTTCTGTGCCATACGCCGCGGTGGGCGTGTCAATGTGCCGTAGTGCATATGCAAAATTAGCACTTATCAGATGTGGAAACATACAGGGAATAGAAAAAAGAAAAAGAGATATTAAGAGAGCGATGAAGAAGAGTGTTTTCTGCTAAGGCACGATCCTTAGGCCACGTTGGGATCATTTGGAGCTTGAATTATCGTTGGATAAGTTCCACATTCCCTCTCTTTTTCCATTTATGTGAAATTTCTGACTTAAGTGGTAGTGTGGGGCTTGATCTCGGTTCTCTTAGGTTTAGATCGAACCCATTAGTTTATTTAAGGTCTTAGGGAGTTGAATCAAACCTCTAACCCTAAGTTTATGAGTTTTATGGTAATTGAAAATTTTTGTTAAAGGTTTGGATGAACCCTAAGTATAATTTAAAGATTTTGAGACAATGTGGGGTATTAGTTAGTGATTTTGGTGTATTGAGATGTTTAATAGGATGGTTAGAGTGTTTGGGAATGGTTGATGTTGTTAGAAAAAAAATTTGAATATTTTAGGTACTTCGAGCCTAAAAAATTTGGGGTTTATCTAGAGTGATAATTGATAATTGGCACTTGATTGTGTAGATTGAGTGTTGCTCGAGCTACCTCATGCATATAGAACGTATGGAGCTAACATTGAGTCATGGTAACCCTTTTTGTGTGATAAAAGGTTGAGAAAATGGAATAATTTACACCATTTAGTTATATTGCTTAATTGTCTGCGACTAAATATGTTAAATTTATTACTTGAGATTTGATAACCTTACATATTGTGAAATGTGATTTTGTGCACAAAAAATATATTTGCGAGCGATGAGAATGATGAAAGTTTTATATGGATTAGTTGAGAAATTTAAAATGTATGTGTTATATATGATGAGTGTGAGCATGATCTTATTAAAGGGTGGGAGTTCACCTATAGGAAGAAATAGTAGAAGTCCATATGGCATGTATTTCCTTAGTGTCTAGTGAGGCATGATGTTGGAGATTTTTCTCTTTAGTATTCATGTGAAATACGGCGTTGGAGAGTGACGCTTCTTAGCATCAATTATGTGGCGTTGGGGTAACGATACCCCGATTCATGCACGATAGGGGAAACCATAGTCTGGAAGTGGGATAGGACGCCTTTGATTGAGTGATCCTACCATGAAGGTGAACTCGGATCATTGTGAATGTGTACTTAATCCAAGAGCCTATGGTTTCAGTCGGGATGATATGAAGGCTCGGATGGTAGAATGATCATGCTAGTGATAAATGATTTGTGTTTATAAAAAGGAATTGTTGAATATGCTACAGTGGAAATGAAAAAGATTATCTTGAACTATATTAAAAGTATTATGGTATTTAAAAATTTTACTTTCATATGGTTGTGCATGTTAATTAATAGTAGTGAATTATTTTATTATTGAGATGTTTGTTTCACCTTGTAGCTATATTTTATAAATGAAGGCTCCGGTAGAAGTAAGGAAAAGGAAGGGGCATTTAAAGAGTAAAGAGCATAGTTGTATAGCTTTTCTCTTTCCTCTTTTTGAGTATTATAATGAATATTGTTAATATATAATGCCAACCTAGGAATATGACATTGTTTTGTTATCATTTGTATGAATTTATGACGAGTGTGCGTATTTTGGTCTAAGGTTAATGTTGTGGATTAAGTATGTGTGTGGTTGGCCAAATTACAATTACAAGTGATATATTTAAAATGATTTATGTGCCAAAATGATCAATTGACACGTGTGCAAAATTTTATTCACCCCTTTGTATTATTATCAAATGGGGGTTTGGAGGTCATTTTGTGTGTGAATGATTATTTATGTGATATGAATGAATTGTCATGTTGTATATGGTCCATTTGAGGTGGTCAAAGTGTCTTTGGGGTTAATGGCATTTAACATAATGAGTTGGACACCTTTATGTGTGTTTTAAGGTGGAAATAAACTTTTTTGAGTTTAGGTGTCCATTTTTTTAATGGATAATTGTTTGAATGTGAGACTAGTGTCATTAGTTAGAGGGCTCAAAGAGCTTCGTGTGGACACTTGAACCGCCCAAATCGAATATCGGATGGCGAAACAGTGTGCTCTGAAAGTTCAGAGAGCTGTTATGATAATAGGTGCGTGCCACGACACAAGTGGCCTTTGAGGGACTTATCCCTTTATGCCATTCGTCATGACGGGCAAGGCTTGCGCCTCGACGGATAAGCCATATTTTTGAAAAAATGGCTTGTTTCAGCCTGTTTTGAAGTGGTTTGATTTCAATGTCTCCGTATTTGTTCTTAATTGATTTTTAATTATATTTTGAACTTAAACAATATTTTAAAAAGAATTTTCTTGGAATCCCATTATTTTAAACTAATTATCTTTTAAACCCTTGAGTATCATAAACTTCTTTTTTTAGGATTTTATCTAATCTCAGTTATCACAATGGTATGTATGAGTGTTGTCCTAATAATGTCAAGGTGGACATTACAATTCACATGCTATCTAATGGGCCCATATATTTGAAATTGTTATATTTCCAAAAATGGATAGATCCATCCTTAATTATAACTAATGAACATGTCATATGTTTTTGTTAAAACAAGTAGCACATATAAAATTTTAAAGTATATAACATGTTTTCTATTCAAAAAGAATATTCTAATTCTTCAATGGATGTCAATGTATATCCTTAACAACCATTTGCATTATATATGAATTGGAATGATCAAATAAGTTATGTTTATAATATGTGTGGTGGATTAATAAATTTCTAGTCTATTGTAATGAAAATCAACTAGCTTTCCATTTTTCCATCACATGTAATTGATTTATAACATTAACACATATCCATTGGAGGGACCCATTAAACTTTGAGAGCAAGTATATAAGTGATACACAATAATTGTATTGTGCCCTTACAATCTCTCATTTAAGTGGGAGTTACGAAAATAAAATTTCTCTATTATTGTATTTTGAAGATAGTGGCCACTACATAGTAAATGAATAGCCTATCTTTCATCAAAAAACTCAAGTGTTTCTCATCTCACACAAAATTATGGGTTTCAATTTTTCAATTTTTGATTGAGCTATTTATTCAAATCCTTAACCAATCAATCCTTGAGATAAATCTATGACCATATTTTTCATTATTTATATTTTTCCAACCACAAAATGAGGGACATCCATTTTAGTTTTGCAAGAACCAATTTATTCAAAAACTGACATATTTTAACACAAATTAATTTATAAATTATACCACATGTAATATAATAAACTAGAAATATGAATATGATTATTGATGTTTTCTTTAAAATTACATCAAGATCAATATCAAATATTTATCATAATTACTTGGAAAATTGATAGCAATATTTAAACACTAGTAGTAATTGAGCACTATCATATAGGTTTTTAGACATAACCAATTTGGACATTTGTTTTTAATGAATTGCTCATGCATGTTTGTCTATATGGCTTCTAGCCATACTGTAGCATTTTGTTATAATTTTTTTTTCAATGCAACCTTATTTTTCAACAATTATGTCAAAACAATATCTTTTTAATAGTTGGGACAAAATATTATTAGCTTGTTAATTTTTATAATTCCATGTTATCATAATCCTTATCTCTCATTGAGTTTTTGTCTATGCTTTCAACAACACGTAATCAATTTCATTGAGTATTAGTTTTTAAGACTATGGCAATTTAAATTTACACAACTCTTCCATATCTTCTTATGCTTGAATAATTAACTTTCAAGGCTATAATATTTTTAACCATACTTAGATCATCAAAATGTCAGGAATTTTTTTTCGGTCATGCCATTCACTGAAACCATAAAATGGTCTTTTATAAGAAAATCATTATCTAAAATTAAGGCAGACCTTTAATTTTTCAGACTATGATATTTGTGACAATATATTGTAATATTTAGTCACAAGTTTTTTTTCAATGATTAAGGCAAAATATTATTATCTTAACAACCATGACAATCCACCTTTTTCAATTCCAATATATATGTTTAATTGTTTTTTACTTTCAACAGTTAATTCGTACACTATATATATGGTTATTACCTTGCTCATAACCAAGCTAAATTTGCCAATCTTTCATATTTTATAATATTATATCAATTTCATCAAATATTAGTCATCAGGATCACAATAAAAATAATTTTTAAATCCTTCAAAGCTTTTCATAGTATGAAATATTTAAACTATTAGCCTTTAGGGCTATATTATTTATAGACATCAAATAGTTAAATTGCCAATAAACTCCATGATGATCTTCTGCAAAATCAAAAATTATATGGCTTTTGACATTTAATCCCAAGATAAATAGAATATGGCTTTGTCGGTCACCTTTTAACACATATTTAATTCTTTTCCATTAGAGTCATAAATCATTGTCAAATTAATAATCACAATTATACTACAGATACATAAATCTTGAATGTTTAAATGATAAGATATAAAATATAACAATAATAGAAATTAATAATAGAATTAAAATATGATACATGATCAATAAGAGCCTTCAAGTAATCAGGGAGGAACCTTTCATGTCTATGTCTTATGCAAATTCATTAGAGATTTATGGATAACGAGTTATGAATAAAATATAAAGAGAATAGAAATGAGAAGAAAGAAGAAAAGATGAAAAAAAAAAATATAAGCAATAGAAATAGGGATAATGTATATTCTCTTTTATCCTTTACAATACAAATAACATGTCCTTTGAGTTTTTATATTTTATTCACATTTTACTATTAGTCCATGTACTTTTTTTAGTGTTTTATGTCCCTTCATGAATAAAGTATAAAGACCTTAAAGAAATTTAAAACACTGAAAAAATAAAAGTGTAAGGACCTAAAATATAAAAAAAAATACGGGGATCAATAGCAAAATGTGAATAAAATGAAGGGACCCAAAGTTATGTTTTTTCTCCTATTTAGAAACATGATCTTACATCAAGGGTTAGAGAAATGATAATGAAAAATAAAAGGTAATCAACATTCATCTTATGGTGAGAGTTTTGCCAGAGAAGATGAAATGGTGGATGAGGGAGATGAACATCCACATGACTTTTAAAATTCATAACATTCTATATAATTAAATGAAAAATGATATAAAATGATCAATATAGTCACAAGCTTCCTTCACTTCTAATAAGTTGAGAAAACGGACTTGAAATATAAGATTGGCTCATTTAGGCTTGAAAATTTCTAGCCTGAAATATTGAGTTGCGAGGATGACAAGCACAAATCAGGAAGAAGTTCTTGATTATACTAGAATCTTGATCCAACCGGGCTGTTTAGGTCCTTTTATTTTTAATTTCTTTGAATTAAAATTAAAACTATTGTATAAAAGCTCAAACTCTACCCTTTCATGGTTCCATTTCTAACGGGAGGCGAGTTTTATGACTGCATGTAGAGCCTGTAATTTGGCCAATCCCAACATATCATTTGAATAAACTTTAAAATTCTTAGAATCCAGTTTGAGAGTTTTTTTTTTGGATTTATTTGAGTAATTTAAATAAGCTTAACAAAATTTGACACGAGTTTGAACTTGAATGTATAAATTCTTTTTTATTAACAAAATGTAATTAACATCTACTTTAACTTTCACTATGCACCGACAAATCCTCTCCAAAACTCTCTCGTTTGCACGCTTCACATAAGAGAGTTTCATTATTTCAATAGTTATTTGTGTTGACTTTTTTTTTAAAAAAAATGTTAATAAAAAAATAAACACACAAAGTTATTTTATATATTTTCATTTCTATTCTTTTATTGCTTGATCTCACATTAGTAAGAATAAAAATAAAAGGTTATCGTGTGTATTTACCAAAAAAATGCTTATTGTTGTTAAGTTTTTTTGAAAAATTCTAATTTTTAAAAATTAAAATTAAAATTTGCTTAAAAATAAAATATTTTTTTAACAATTCAAATATCTAGATGAAAAAAATAAGAAAGAGTTAAGATGTTACATCCAGACTTAATAGTTCATGTGTTTTAACCATGTTTGAATAAGTCAATTAAACTCGAATTACCAATTGCATGTTCCTCACTAAGGGTGTGGAAATAGACTAGACTTTTATAAGATGTTTACACCATAGGCTACTTTAGACTCAACCAAACTTATTTATTAAATATATCTAGACTAGATTCAAACCTTTGATTAGATCTATTTAACTAAATAGGCTAAACATATTTTTATAAGGCGTGAGCGAGCGCACACACATAATACACACACAATGATAATAAAATCTCTCTAAATTATATAAATAACAATCTGATTTCCTGAAATATCATAATTTCATTGAGGTCTTTAGTGATCTTGTGTCAATAAATTTTAAAGTAAAAAGATCATTTTACTCATATTAAAATAACAAACTTCAATCATAATTTTTGTTCTGTAAATTACAATAGCTAAATAAGAAATCAAAATTTGTTAAGTTCAATTTTTGTTATTGAAAAAAAAGTCTCAATTATAACTTTTATTTTATAAATTGTAAGAGTTGAACAAGAAATTAAAATTTTCAAGTGTAATTTCTATTATTGAAAAACAAGTTTTCAAAATCATAAACTTTATTTACAATTTTTATTTAAAGAATTACAACTTTTATTTAAAGAATGATAAAAATTGAACAATAAATCACAACTTATTAATAATGATAAAATAGTCTTTTTAATTTAAAATTCATTGACAAAGAGGCCTTTAGGAACTTCAGTATAATTAGTATTTTAAGAGATCAAATTATTATTTATATAATTCAGAGACATTTTATTATCATTCTCCTCATATATTATGTAATATATTACTTATATAGCAATTTCATATTTGATTTTTAATCAATTTATTTTTTATTTTTAATTATGCTTTTAATCAAATTAGATTTATATATTAATTTTAATGTTATTACCTCATTATCGTATTTTAATTATTATATATTATAATTATAATTAATAAATTATATTATATAAATATAGATGTTTTTGGTTAATTATATAGATATAAATGTTAATGGTTCTAAAACATTAACACCAAAAATATTTTTAAAAATATATTTAAGATGTTCAAAATTAACATCTTAATTTATTTAAAATACTTACTAATAGACTTTCAGCACCTAAACCTTAAAATAAGCCACGTACAAGTTTTAGGGCCCGTTTCATTTGTTTTCGTTTCAAGTTTATAAAGTAAAATTTTACTTTTAAGATGCTGGAAGTTATTGAAATAAAATATTTTATAAGAAAGTACATTTTAAAAATACATTTAGATAATGGTTAAAAGTAAATTTAAAAATCATAACTATTTAAAGTTTTTGAAAAGTAAATTTAAAAAATAGGATGTTATTTGACTACACTAATTTGAGTTTAATCTCTTATTTTTTATTTAAAAAATAGTTAATTCATTAAAAATATAATTATTATTTTAATTATAATAATAATTAAGTATTAAGTTTTTAACATTATAAATTAAGTAATTAATTATGTTAAGTTTTAACATTAATGTATAATAAAAATTTAAATTTTTATCATATTTTTAAAAATTATAAATTAAAAAAGTATAAATAATTAGAGATTAAGTTTTTAACATTATAAATTAAATTTTATATTATTTAAAATTTTTATTATATTTTTTAAATATTTTAATATTTAAACATAAATTTTATTATAAGAGATGATTTTTATCAAATAAATTTTGGTGATAAATTAAAAACCAAACGCACGCGACTTTCAGCCCCAAAGCAATGTTTGGCCGAAATCTACCGACGGAGCCCATTTCCACCCCAACGGCCCAACTCCTTGCCCTTTCAACCCTAGTAATTCCCCCTCTTCTACCGCCAGACCAGTCGGTGGAGTTGAAGAGCGTGCTGCGCGAGAGTGAGGCGTCCGGCGAAGAAGGCGACGGAGCATCTCCAACCGATACACATCCACTGCAGCAACAGGGAGGCGTCCGGCGAAGGTTGACAGCAAGGTGAGCTTTTGTTATTCCCTTTTGTCATCGAAATGCTTCTTTATTTTGGGTCTCTAGCTCTCTTCGTCTGATGTGGCTCTGCTTGTGGTTCTGTCTTCTCGTGCTGTGACTCTCTGCTTGTGGTTCTCTCTTTTGAAATCGTCCACGAGTAATTTTCACTGGCCTCTCACGTATGCTTTGTCTCTTTTCCAGTTACACTCTTCTTCTTAAAAAAAATAAGAATAAAGAGTCTCTACCATTGGCACCAATCCAAGTTGGTATTGCCTCGACCACACGACACCGGCCGGCTCCGCACAACTAGGACAGTTATTCCTGTTTCGGGAAACAGCTTCCAAACTGTGTATCAGGTCGTGGTTGTTCTTCTATAAATTAGGTTCGGTCGTCATTATTTACTGTGTTTTTGTATATATGCATTTAGTAATTGTCTGTAACACTTGTACTCAAGAATGTTTGTGGAAGGCCGCCATTCGGAATGACTTCGTAGTGTTTGATATAATTACACAAAGCTGTATGCTCCTTAACTTTTCATCGTGTTACTCTCGATTTCCTTGTACAAGTATCTGTATTGCGTTGAAGACCTCTACTTCTTTCTGTCAATTATTAAATTAAAGTAATTAAAAATAATCATCGACATATTTTAAAAATAGAGTTGAAGTTTAGTTTTAGCGCCTAGAAAAGAATTCCTGAATTTTGTATACACAAGTCATTAATCTCTTTAAAATGAATTTGATTCTTTTGGCAGATTAGTTACTGAGAAATGGCAGAAGATGATGAAGGAGTGACATTTAAGGATCTGGGCTTATCTGAGCAGCTGGTGGAAGCCTGTGAAAAGTTGGGTTGGAAAAAACCATTGAAGATTCAAGCTGAAGCAATCCCTCTTGCACTGGAAGGTTGATGATCTAATGAGTTGTTATGAGAGTGCTGGTTTTACGATGTTCTTTGTTTCTTGTATGTTCTATGCAGGGAAAAGGAAGAAATGGGTAGTAATGAGCAACACTTAAATGATTGATTTAGCTAAGAAAATAAAATCAAAACTGGAGGTGATCATTCTTTTATGATTAATTGAGAACATTCTTGATGCCATTGCAAGAATACAAAATGGTGGACACTCTTGATGAGTAGATGTAGAAAATCCATTTTTATCAGGTCTGGTTATACACCAACCATCAACTTTTTTTTTTTTTTGAAATCGAAATAAATAATTCTTTAAATAATGTAAACTCATCAATACAATGAAATTCTTCAATCCCTCTGCATAATTATAGAGGAAGTCCCCAAGAAATGCCATTTGTTAAGCACTACTGAGAAGCTATGAAGATGTTAAAAGCTTCTTGTTGAAATGTGGGGATTTTGAACCAACCAAATGGATAGAAAACAGCTTATATTACACTGTCACAAAACCTTGCTGTCTATAATTGTGCCGAAATATCTAAAACTAGTTGACCTGCTCTGTTTTTTTTTTTTGCAGGTTTTTGATTTACTGAATTATACCAATGATTTGTGTATCAAATTTTATTGCTTTATAAAAGTTGCTAGATAATGAATCAATAGAATAGAAATGAAAATTAATGCTATGGCTATTGATATTTTTATGGCCTTATTTTTAGTTTATATAATAAATTCCTACTCTAATAGATCTCCCCAGAATAGCTCAATATATGCTGATAGTATTTTTGTATGGATCCTTTCACAGGAAAAGATGTTATTGGGCTGGCACAAACTGGCTCTGGTAAGACTGGTGCTTTTGCTCTTCCGATACTGCATGCTCTTCTAGAAGCACCGCGACCAAAAGATTTTTTTGCTTGTGTGTTGTCTCCTACAAGGTTGATACCTAATCTTGTATTTCATTGCCAATTTATGCCTTTAATAAAATGAAATTATTCTCACTGGTATAGAGCTGATTTCTTTCTTATCCTGTTTTTACCTTTTTCTTGATCTAGAGAGCTTGCTATTCAAATCTCTGAACAGTTTGAAGCATTAGGTGCTGAAATTGGTGTCAAGTGTGCTGTGGTGAGCTTCTGTCTAGTTTTTTTATTGGCATGTTTTGTTGTGCATGAACAGTTTGGCTGCCTGCTTACTGCTTGATGAATAATGTCTGTCTGATGTCCCTTGTTTGTAATTTACGCACTGTTTACCATTTGATACCTAACTTGATGATCATGAGTTTCAGTTTCCCATGAGTTATTCCTCTCTGCTTGTATTGCTCAATTTTTGCAGGTTTAACTTTATCATGTGGTGTTTTGGTGCCTGTATTCTTTGTTTACATATTCTTACTTTAGCAATCTTTTTATTATACCTTCTTTTTCTCTAGCTAGTTGGAGGGATTGAAATGGTGCAACAGACAATTAAGATAGCAAAGCAGCCTCATATTATTGTAAGTGTTACCATAGACATGTTTGTAAATTTTCTTAGTTTCTTGTTCTCCAATATTATTTCAACCCCACCTAGTGGGATAGGGCTTCTTGTTGTACTAATTAAGTGAGCACCTATTGGATTTTTAATCCTCAATTTCTTGAGAGTATTAGTGAATGTGAGAGGGGGTGTTAATGTGGTGTGCAAATGACTTTTTTGAGCTTTAGGTGGCACTGACATTCATGATTGTGATTATTCTCGCAGGTTGGGACACCTGGTCGTGTTTTAGATCACCTAAAAAACACTAAAGGTTTTACTCTTAACAGATTAAAATATTTGGTAAGAATGTCTTCATTTGAATCAAGCTGTTCTATTTTGGTATGGGTTTGCCTCTATATTTTTCATCTATTGGTAGTATGCATTGTATGGACTTTATTCACTGTCTATATATTGTTAGTGCATCATGCAGGGCTTTTGTTAATTGTTCTTATGAAAGTTAATGCACATTCATTATTTCATTCTTACTTTGCGAGATTAAGTTTGTGGGAGTATTTTCTATGGTTGTTGTTGGACTAGTAGTATTTTGTTCATCTTATTAGTTTAGTTAGACTATATAGGTCCCACATTGGTTGTATCCCAAACTATACAACCTTTTACTCAATTATAAATAAATGTTACATGAACCTCCCCTTGTTGAGGCTTTCCAAAATATTCTCTTTTTATTGTTCTTTAGAGTAGTAAATTCTGTCAGTTTGAGGGCTTCATGATAGGGCTGATTAAACATTTCATTTAAATTTTAAAAATAGCAATTTTGTCATAAAATGAAATCTTTACCTTAGAATAATACTTTTGGTCATAGGGAATTGAGCCAATTGAAAGGGGAGTGGGTAAAGGAAGGAGTGGTCCTGCTGTTTTGTTGGATGCCTAAGTGAGGAATGGGATGGAAGTGAGACGCAGGCCCTGGGTTTTGCGCCCCTTCTCATTGCAGCTGGTTTTGGAACTGTTTTTTTGCATGAGAAAATATAACTTTTGATGTCATTTTATAAAAAGAATCATTCATTATACATATTTTATTACTTAATGTAAAAATGTATACATAAATTGTCTTTTATTCTCTCTCTTTCCTTCTAACTAAACTAAACAAACAAGGCAAAGATTTATGAACTTCCCATCCCCCCTTTTCATCTCTAATACTCCCCTCATGTTCCCTTTCTTTCTTTGTTTGGGTATTCTAAGCAACATGAACAATTACATGGGCTTCGCTTCTCTTCCTCATACCAAAGATATAGCATGTTTGGTTCATTGTGTGCATTATTTGCCCACCTCGTTTGTTCCTGCTTATATAAGTTTAACAGTTTGCACATTTATATTTTTTTACGAGCCTCCCATGGTTAGATCAGTGAAGGATTTTTGTAGATGATTTAGTCAATTGATTTTGGTGAATGGACTGAAGTTATCTGATGTAAGTTGATGATTAGTGATATTTTTACGTTTTCTCCTTGTTTAATTTTAGGTTATTTTCGTTCATGTGATGGAGTCAGTCGAATTTTCATGTTCATATCTTGCTCTGCTTATTTGCCATGTTGTTATGTTGAAAGAAAGATCAGTTGTAGTTGGCAATCTGTGTACATGTCTTGGTTATCTGCCTTGTGTTGACCATTCAACCATTCTTTATGGATGCTTGACCTGGTTGCAGATGCAGAAAATCTTTTTCTGTTTTGTTGTCTATCATATATTCTTGACTTATGTATCATTTATTTTGAGATGCTTGAATTCTCTGCGTTTTGGGCAGGTCCTAGATGAGGCTGACAGGCTGTTGAATGAGGATTTTGAGGAATCTCTCAATGAGATTCTGCAAAATATCCCTCAACAAAGAAGAACATTTCTGTTTTCTGCTACGATGACTAAGAAGGTATGGTAGATTTATCTGGAATTGTGCACTTTGTAGCACCCTAAAAATTTTTCTCAAACAATTTACTCAACCATGGTAAACAATGGTAAACATAAATTACCATTGTTTACCATGGTTGAGTAAATTAACTAATTCTACTTGGTTGAGTAAATTGTTTGAGAAAAAATTTTAGGATGTTACACTTCCTAAAAATGCAGGACAAGTTAGTTATCAATTTGGTGGAATCCTTTTCCCTTGCAAATACAAAAATGATTAACGATATTTCTCATTTCACTAAAATTATACATTTAAAAGATTCTTAAACGTATTCATTAGATCTTTTAGAGAAATTGAAAGGGAATTTTTTCTGAGGAGCTGCTAAATTTAAAAGAAGGGGGTGGACTGGTGGTGAGCAATCGTATACTTTTATGCATATATGCTTGCTGGTATCATTTTGGAGGGTTCTAACTTGGTTTCATACCTCTATACTGTGCTGTAGACATTTGCAATTTTTTATTTTATTATTCTTAATGTGTTATTGGTGGCATGAACTCTGCCTCTTTAGATCTAGGGGCTTCCTTCGTTATTGCAGTCTTAAAACATTTAGCGCTGATTGAATGCATTCTTGATGCTGCAGGTCCAAAAACTCCAAAGGGTTTGTTTAAGGAATCCTGTGAAGGTACTGTTTAACTTACTATATTTGTTTCTGCATTTAGGTTTTCTCAGCCCTTCAGATTTTGCTGAAGTTCTTGTTTTGACTTAATTCAGATTGAAGCAGCATCTAAATATTCTACCGTTGACACTTTGAAGCAGCAGTTTCGCTTTTTGCCTGCCAAGCACAAGGTTTGTTGTTCTTACCTGTCTGAAATTTTTTTGCTAGAATTGACTGAATCTCTTATTACTCATGGGTAATGGATTCCTGGTCCAATCTGTAATGACATAATGTTATACAAAGTGTTAAAAAAAATATTCCTGGTTTTACCCAAGAATTCATTCAACATCTAACAAAATTTAGTAGTCTATCATTTTACTTTCCTGTAATGAACTCTTTAATGGGATTGTGTTGGTTGGGTTGTCAAAGATTGGTGTTACTTTTGTGATTTAAAAAAGAAATTGTATCAATGTTCGGTGATAAAATAGAAATCATATTTGAGTTTAGTTTTCCTTTAAATAATACATACTACTAACAGCCTATATAGTCTGGAAAAGAGAGTTGTGGCACTGAAACATATAGCTTTGATTATGAAGCATTGTTTAGATTGAATAAATCTAGCACGTCCATGTTCATGGCTTTATTATGACCATGTTCATGACTTTATTGTGTGTCACAGGATTGCTACCTGGTCTATATTCTGACTGAAATGGCTGGAAGCACATCCATGGTGTTTACTCGCACATGTGATTCAACTCAGCTTCTGGCTTTAACTCTTAGAAATTTGGGTCTCAAAGCCATCCCAATTAACGGTCATATGAGCCAAGTAATTGTTTTGATTTGGGTATTTCTAATTTGTTGGTTTCTACTTTTCCTCTGGGAGAGGAATGTTTGGGGTGGAGAAAGTGCATGTCTGTGGGTGTGTAAATGATGTGTCTCTAACCTTTATTATGGGTATCTTGTGACAGTCAAAGAGACTTGGAGCCTTGAATAAGTTCAAGTCTGGGGATTGCAATATCCTTATTTGCACTGATGTGGCAAGCAGAGGTCTGGACATTCCCACAGTGGATATGGTTATCAACTATGATATTCCTACGAACTCAAAGGTAATAATACTATCTATTTTTAAACCTTTATTGACTTTCGACATCTAGAACAGAAACATTCAGCTGGTGCTGTTGTGTGATTTAAGATTGATCAGCACAATCATACCATGTTTGTCTTCAATATCATTGTTCTATGGGGCATGACTTGTACAGATCCGTTGAAATTATGAAATGCGTAGAGCTTTTTTGGAATTTTGTCCCGTGTTTCTGTGCAATGAATTTCTGATCTTGTGAGCTACAGGATTATATACATCGTGTGGGAAGAACTGCACGGGCTGGGCGATCTGGTGTTGCCATTTCCCTTGTCAATCAATACGAGCTGGAGTGGTACATCCAGATAGAGAAGCTTATAGGTTACTTGTGTATCCCCTTGTCTCCAAGCTTTGCTTCTGCCATCCTAATGAAGGAACAAGGTCTAATCGTGTAGTTTGCATACTTCAGGGAAGAAGTTACCAGAGTATCCTGCGCAGGAAGAGGAGGTTCTTCTTTTGGAAGAGCGTGTTAGTGAGGCCAAAAGATTATCAATGATGGTAAATGATGGAATATGAGTTGAAAATAAGGACTATTTATTTTATGCGAAGACAATTGGGATTTCCTAGTTTCGTTAGAATTATCTTTTAGATTAGATTTGAATAGTATTTTTTAAATAGGACAAAACTTAGTCCATTATATATTGGAAGATCAGATTGCAAACACGAGTTCCATGGGGTTTTATCTTTTTTGAAATTAACTTCTCATTATGAAGAAATTAATAAGCTAATGGGTATGATGTGATTTAGACAATTGTGTTATGATTCTGTTAAACTCTTCATTTTCTGCAAGTGTTATGATTCTGTTAAACTCTTCATTATCTGATGCAGAAAATGAAGGAGAATGGAGGGAAGAGGAGAAGGAAGGGTGAAGGAGATAGTGAAGAGGAAGATATCGAGAAATACTTAGGTCTCAAGGATGGAAAATCATCCAAGAAGTTCAAAAAGAAATGAGAATACACCTCTGTTGGATTTGTTTTTGAAATCTTTGATTGTATATGGCAATTTTGATATTTATTTAATATTTAATTTAGTTGCTGCATTAGGTTGAGTTTTCTTTAATGTAACACGCTTCTGCTAATGTCATAGGTGAGAGAGCTTGGTCATTGAGGGATCTAAATGAAATGTACGTCATCGAGAAATTAATGTTTTAAACTTTTACCATCGAGCGAATAGGAAAGCTGTTACTGTCTGCACTAGTAATGCACATGTGTTTAATTTGCTGGTCAGGGACGTATCTTGTAATCATACCAGTTATGAGGTAATCAACTATGGCAAATCTATACTAGCTAGACAGTGAGTGGCGTGGCTTTTATTTTTTTAATTGCTTATTTTTTTTTTTATTTTGATGGAACATATTCAAGGAAAATTTTTTAAATGTATGCTCTTTGCAGATGATATAGTTCTTATAGTAGAGATGAGAGAAGAGGTTAATTGCAAACTCGAGTTATGAAGGAGGACATTAGAGTTGAAAAGTTTCTATTTAAGTAGGAGTAAGACGGAATATTTATACTGTAAATTTGGTAAAAGACTTCAATAATAATTTGGAAGTGAAATTGGGAGGTTAAATTATACTTTAAGTGGAAAAGTTTAGATATTTGGGAGCCATTATTTGAAATGATGGCGAAATTAGTGGAGATATTTCACATAGGATTCAAGTTGGGTGGTTTAATTGGAGAAAAGTTAGAGAAGTTATTTGCGACCGTAAGATGCCTAATAAACTTAAAGGAAAGTTTTATCGCACTGCTCTTAGACCAGTAATGTTATATAGTAGTGAATGCTGGGCTCTAACGTGACAGCAAGAGTATAAAGTTGGAATAGTAGAGATGCGAATGTTACGATGGATGTGCGGACATACGCGTAAAGATAAAATTCAAAATGAGCACATACGCGAAAAAGTGAGGGTAGCACCTATTGAGAAAAAAATGGTAGAAAATCGGTTGAGATAGTTTGGGCATGTACAAAGAAGACCAAGGGAGGCACCAGTGAGAAGAGTGAAACATATAACTTTGAGTCCGATTAAGAGGGGTAGAGGAAGGTCTAAGAAAACATTCTTGGAAGTTGTTGAACGTGATCTCTTAATTAATAATATTTCGAAAAGCTTGATAAATGATAGAGCACAATGACATCTTGCAATCCATGTAACCGACCCCACTTAGTGGGATAAAGGCTTGTTGTTGTTGTTGTATAGGTATGTATTTATTCACAATAATCTGTTAGAGGTATGATTGAATATTAAATGTGGTATCTATTCAGGAGGAATTTGAATTTTGGTTTGACATACCAGAAGTTATTTTTTTCCCCTCTAGATTTAACCTTGATCTTGTGGCTATTAATTTTGTCACCAAGGATATTACTTGGTTGCTTGTGGATATCATGAGGACTGATGAGCAAAGTTCCCTTGATTTTATAACCTTCGATCAATCTCTACCTCCATATTTGAATTAGAGGATGATGAAAGGTGTTAATTCTTTGCTCTCTCCTATGCCCTTTTTAGTTGTGTTAATAAAATCTTTTCAATTCTTTTTTTATAAAGAAAACTTTACCATTTAGCCTTTTTCAAACTTCAAGCAATTTAAATTTCTTTTTGGGGAAATTAATTGAAAATTCGATCTTTTAAAAAATTACACATTTTTAATTATACTCATTAAATGTTTTTAGTGTTTTAATAATTACAATTAAAATTTTAATGAGACTGTTTTTTCAAACATAATAATAACTACGAGTATAGTTGAAAAAAAAAACTACAGATTTTATATTCAAATGTATCGCGAAAGATTTCAAAATAATTCTCATTTTAGAAAATGTCTAATATTATGAATGGAGGAGTACAATATGTTTTTGAGAAATTAATGTATGCCACAAGAACTGAATTTGATTGTATTAAATCAAGTGAATGTCCCACAAATAGTAGTGGTCTAGGCTTTTTAAGCATCATTTTAAAGTTTGATTTCTGGAGTTGGGTATGGAAAAAAATTACTTAGGAGAAGACAATCTCTTAAATAGGCTTAGATTTTTCAAGGGATTAGTCTCATCGTTGTCAGTTGTGAGGATATCTTGGATAATATGAAAAAAAATTTGATTGTATTAATAAGGGTTTCTCATTGAAGGTGTTAGTAATGTTTAATTGATGTGTTGTAGTAATTAATGAGAAAATTGGTGAGGATTGAGGGTGATTATGAGAAAATGAAATACTATCTCCATTTAAAAGTGATCAATCAAATCATTTGGTTAGGCTTCTTTGGAATGCAAAAAAATTTCAGGAAGCAATAATATTAGAAGAATCCCCTAGCAGAGACTTTTTGTTCATGTATGTTGAAATGTATAGAAGGAGATATGCAAAGTTATCTATTATGAAGAAGATAATCTTGTTAGAGACTTTGCTTTCACTTGCACCTAAGGGCCAAGACATTATTAATGATCTCAGTCTGCTTTTAAAAGTCAATAATAATCCTTTAGGTCATATCAGACTCAAGCAAAATGGTACCCTCCTGAATTTGGTTGGATATGATTGGACATTGACAGCTTTATTAGTGGTAACAACTTTGTTACTTGTCATGGAATCTGTTGAGACAATCAAGGAAATTGGATTAAAAGGTTTTTTAAATACCTTTGTTATTATCCCAACTAGCCTTTACTACTCCATGCAACCATTATATGAATTTATTCATGTTCAACTACAAAATGTTTAATCTAAGCTATTCTTAAACAATTACTATAAAAACTCTAAAAGTATCACTTCAATGTATGTTAAAATTGTTACGCTAATAGTCATGTCTTATAATGATTGTATTTATCGAATTACATATAAAATGAAATATGTCTTCATTGGTTTTAAAAACAAATATATGTTACACCAAATTTCTAAAAATCTCTTTATAAACAACATTTGTTGTAGTAAATGTCCCATAGGGTAAGAGAATCTTCAAGCAATCTTTGCTCTTAACTTTTGATAGTACTACATATAATTGACCATATGTGAGACTGGCTTTGATAGATATAATCCAACATTTCGCAATGATTGCCTTTGACTTTTGTTGATTGTCATTGCAAATGAAACAATAATAGGGAATTGTCTCCTTTGCATGCCAAAAGGCCATCTACTTTCTGAGAAATTCATGTCCATTTGATGAATCAAGACTTTCTCATTTTGCTTTGTACCATTTAAAGTTATGGCTTCTATGACATTTCTTCCAACATGAGTGGTCTGTAAACTTGTGCCATTGCATAAACTAAAGGCTTGGTCCATATTACGGAGTAACATTATAGGGGTTCCAACCTTCAAATGGAGCTTATGAGGAGGTAATCAAGAGCAAGTTATTGTGTTAAGAAACTCAATATTATACAAATTATGAAAGGAATCACTATCTTCTATTGACTTGCAAATGAAATCACAACTTAAAAACTCAGCAGATTCACCAGGAAGTAAAGAGCACATGTAATCATTAACTTGATTAACAACTTTGATGGTAGAAGCAAGAATTGCTCTATCATTGAAATATTGAGTGTTAGTTAAATTATCAAGCAAATTTGGATAAGTAGATGATACAATTGCTTCCATTGCATCATCATATTTAGAAAGCAATAAATCATGAGGAACCTCTATCTCAGCTACATCATCATGTGGTTGGCCTAACTTCCTATCACCTACATCTAATAGCCATTGTGAAAATTTCTTCAATCTTCATCATCATTATTTAAAGTTGATGGTGATAAATGCATATTCTTCTTAAGTTGAAAAACTTTGCAATGGTCCCATAAGGGTGAAAAACTAATGCATGCATTTACAATTGATGCTCTTGTTCCTTTTGGAATGACAGGAAGGATTTGGCAAAAATCACCACCCATGACAATACATTTCCCACCAAATGGATAATTAGAATGCATTATATCCCTAGGTGTGCGTTCAAAGGCTTCAACACAATAGCGTTGCACCATTGGTGCTTCATCCCATATGATCAACTTTGTTATTTCAATTAAACGTGCTAATGTAGAGTTTTGGTTTTATGCAACAAACAAAGTCTTTAGTTATTTGTATAGGGATTGCAAATCTTGAATGTGCTATCCTTCTGGATGGCAATTAAGTTACTGCAATTCTGCTTGATGCCTCGGTCAAAACTATATCTCCTTTTGCATAAAGTGATGAAGATAATGCATTTCATAGGAATGTTTTGTCAGTGCCTTCATAACCATAGACAGAAAAATCCTCCTGTTTGTGAAGGTAGTAAGGACATGACTGTATTATAAATACATCTTTGCTCATCATTGAATGAACTAATTAGCCTTAAAGCTTCTATATTCAAGGTATCTCAATCATAGTTCAATTTTTGTAGTATTAGATGGTTAGTGATTTCAAATATTGAAGCTTCTTGAGGTAATGGTAGGGATGGATAATCTTGAAGTGATCTCCCATTACTCTTTAAAAAGCAATCGATCTCATGTAGTGCAGCCTATTCCTTCTTAAAGATTGTCATGTCAACCATTATAATGTATAAAAAAATTAAATGATTATTCATAAATATTTTGCAAAAACATTTTGATTGATAATAATTGGATTGAAAAAATTTCAAATTACCTGATAGGCTTTGATCATTTTTGGAGATATATAACAAATTTTCAGATAAAATTTTTGAAGTATTATTCTATACAAAGTTAGGACTATTCAAGTAAGAACATAGTAACATAGTCACAAACATTCTTCTCAATAATGTTCTTGAAGCCTAAGTTGCAGCTTCATGTATTGCATTTATGTATTTCCTATCATCATCTAGTAATCCTAATGCAAAGCAAGCATTGTTGAATGTTTTATGGACTACTCCATTAATAGTTTTAATGGCATCATATGAAGAAGGACCTCTAACCTTTGTTAAAAGAATTCTAAGATAGTATAGCTTTCCAGATGATGGAGTTACATGAGTAATTCTACCAACAACAAAACCACGTTCCCTTCTTTTTTAGGATCGTTTTGATCTTTGATAAACATAATGATAAGAGAACTCAATATATGTAAGTGTTTGGGCAACTTCATCCTACTCATTCATTTTCATCCAAGCTAGAAACTATGACTCACATACTCTCTATTTATCCAACAATTCATCTACATCATCATCGTTAGAATAAATGACAGATTGTTGATTGGGGAGATGAAAGTATAATCTCTTAATAGAAGGAAATCTGTGATGTATGGCAAAACCAAATATACGCCAAGATCCCTCACATGCAGATATATATATATCGATAATTATAGTATTGTTGAATCTCATCATGATTGTCATATATTATAGCAATCGCC